AACAATTTGTGAATAGTTCAGACAACTAAAATATTGACTACAATGCATCATTTTGCTGCATGATTTTCTTCTTCATAAAACAATGAAACAATATTACCTTTTTTTTTTTTTTGCAAATGCATCTACAAAACAAAAAGCTCTGTGATGATTACAACAACAACAACAACATTATTCATTGGACCTGTTTTTGAACATTTATTACATCTTTTAGAATGCGTGCATATGAGAAATTTCATAAAATATTTGAATGACATTCAAGCTAAATTTTAATGCAAATTCAACTTGAGTTCAATATTTCCCAGGACAGTAAACCGTTTTTTGTTTTCTTCAGAGAAGTGTTAGCTACAAATGTGCAGTCAAGACTATTCCAACTTTAAGCCTGAATATTCAGTTCAAAACTCATTTCCTATTGATAGTTGGCTCTCTCTAATGGATCTGTGAACTGATGAGACATTATTATTCAATCTTCCACTTCTACTTGTTCATAATGTACAGAATTCCAGCTGTGACCTGAAGATCAAGTTGTAAAGTACCCCTTGTGTTATTGCTGCTGTACCCCTTGTTGTCTGGCACCATAGGCCATATTGGCCACTCTGACATTTTTTCAGAGTCATTTTCAATGAATGTGACCAAAAATAGTAAATATTGCAGTGGTTGTACCTGATACAGGATTCTTCTCTCCCTGAGTTGGTGGCTGGCCCCTACTTTGCCCTTTATTTCTCCTTTTGTAGTTAAAATCACAACCAACAAACTGGCAGACTGGCAGGACATGCACCCAAATCTGCATGTTAAAATTATGGGCCTTAACTGCCGTCCATGACCTTATATGAAAACACACATCCACACATACATTTGCACCCACGCACACAGGGGCACATGGATACTCAGAATCAAAAAGGTTATAGACCTCAATTTGAGGTTAATCTTCCTTAGATAAGAAGTGCTTTTAGTGTCACGTTCCAATTGAAATTGCTTAGCCCCCTTAGGCTTAAATAGAGGAAATGCAATTGGCTTGCTCTTATTTGCAGTCTTCTAGTGACCTTTAAGCTTTAAATCCTGTCTAGCACAACAAAACATATTGAAGTGAAAGTTATTTTCCTTTAAGTGGACTTTGTATTAAACTGTATTAAAAAAATGTAATGCCAGGGGAATATATGAAAGACTCAAAAAAAACAAAATATTTGTTTTGCTGCTTTTTTATTTTCATCAAAAAAAAAAAATAGACAGGCATCTATCTATCAAACTTTTTTTTTGTCATTTTTGTTTTCTTGCAAGATGGCTACAAAATTAAACTTAAAGAGACATTATTACATTGCCACTGAACATCAGTCCAGCAGAATTATACATTAGAATGAGGCGATTACTTTTCACTGTTAGTTAATCCACACTGAGTGTCACTTTCCCACAAAGAGGTGCTATATATAGGCGCACAACCTTCTGAATAGCCAGTGGACAAATAACAGTGTGACAAATGCTTACCATAAAAACTGTAACATCATTCCTGTGGATCCTAAGTCACAGGGCCATTGAGAAAGTAATGTTAACACACACTGTCATGCAACAAGATATTCCCCATCACTCCAAGGGAAATATCTGGAAGCAGAATCGTCAAGATACGGTGAGGCTAAACAAGGAATATAAAAAGTCCCATTTTCATCTTTTTTTCCCCATGTCTGACTCAAGAGGTTTGCTCTGAGATCTGGTGTGCAATTTATGCAGGAGCCACAGAGGACACTTCTGTCTTGGATGTGGACACCTCAGAGCCATCATCCACCTTCTTGCCAAAGAGCTGCATTATGCATACACGGAACTGCAAAGAAAGAGATATCAGGATTATTTAGCGAATGTTTTTTCAATGTGCTCAAGGTTTGAGCTCCGTTAAACAGCACTGGCTTACTTGTCGGTTCATGAAGACATAAATGATGGGGTTGTAGATGGTGGCGCTCTTGGCAAAGTAGGCAGGCATGGCTGCTGCCAGTGGGTGGAAGGCATAGCCTGGGTTTGCAGCTGCAAAGCAAGCGAAGAACGTGTAAGGTCCCCAGCAAACACAGTAGGCCAGGATCATGACAACCACCATTCTGGACACTTCCTTCTCTGCTTTCTGTGTGGACTCAGAATCCTTCTGCTGCTGGGCGACCTGTTAACAAGAAATGGCAGATGCTTAATGGCTTTTTACAAACTGGAATAAAATTTTGAAACCAGTCCAAGAGACAACTTACAGCACGAATGGCCAGCCACACAGCAATATAGCAGAGAATGATAATGGCCAAAGGGATGATACAGCAGGTGATCATCAGGATAATCATGTAGGACTGAACACCGGGGTCCTCGCTTCCACTGAAGACATCAGGGCCGCAGGAGGTCTTCAAACCGTGAGGCCAGTATCTGTGAGAAAATAATGGATATGAAGATTCACATTTATTCTTGTGTGGAACTTATATGCTTGTATTATAAGCCAAAGAATTCAATCATTTTATGTTGAATTACTAAGATATACATCTATGTAGCTGTCAAATGTCTTCATTTTGATCATTTAATAATGGACTTTACCTGCTCCAGCCAAAGATGGGAGGTGCACACCAGAAAATAGGCCAAACCCAGGAGAAGATGATACCAGCAGATGCCCATTTAGCATCAAACTTGACATTTCCAAATGGTTTGCAGACAACCACCCATCTTTCCCAAGAGATGACAGTCAAAGACCACAGACCAGCGATACCTATTGATTGTTATCCATATTAAACTTTTTTTCTAATGCATTTTTCTGCAGTTGTTATTTAATTGTGAATAATGATGTCTTTGGGCAGTAACTTACCACATACAGACACGGTGTATCCCTCAAAAATACACATGGGATGTCCGAGGATAAAGTAGCCAAAAAACTGGTTGATGACACTGATGGTGCTGGCCAAAAGAGTCTCTCCTAGATCAGCTAAAGCAAGGTTGACCAGGATCCAGTTAAGAGGGTGACGGAGCTTCTTAAATTTGGCTGTGGCCACCAACACCAGGCCATTGGTGAAGGTCGAGGCAACGACCACAAAGAACATCCATACTGTTGCTAAGTTGTACACCCATCGAGGGGCAATGTGGTAGTTGGGTCCCTCAAACGGATCTGGAAATGAGAAATAAAGAGCAGTAATATCACCACCTTGAAAGAGTTCTTACTTGACAGCCATTGCAACCAACTATCATTTTTCTAAAGCTTGTTATTTATTAGTCTGAAAAATGTATGATCCTTCTGGCAGGTCAAAAAAAAACATTTGAAGTTTAAGACTATGACTACCAAAGTTTTCTGTCTTCTTTCTTTGCTGTTCAGAAACAACTTAAAGCCCAAAAAGACTTTCACGTGGCTTTATCATATTAACAGAATAGCTATGGTTTTTTTTTTTTTAATACAGAAAAAAATTACTAAAGACTTACCCTTGGTGTTATTGCTGTTGGTATATACAAACATCGATTCCCTCGTCGTTTCATCTCCCCTTCGCCTGGCTGCGAAGATTGCATCTCCCCACTGCTCTGCCATTTTTGGAGGTTGTTGTATAGCCCAAACCTGTAGTTATTTAGCTGTTGTAAAGGTCTGGGCCTTTGTGCTTCTACTATCTGCTGTCTCTGGCCGACTCGCACCGACAGACTTTGGGCTCCTGTCAAAGTTCTTTTATATGCGAAAAAAGAGGATGCCCTGGCTTACAGGGTGAAGAATTTTTTAGGTCAAAACAGGAGCAGAACAAAGACTCATTCATTAGGCTTATAGGAGGCCTAAGCTACTGTTCCTTCCTAGGATTGTTGAAGCCATCACAGGTAAACCAAAACAGTGTGCGGTGACATTTGGCATGACCGAGCCAGGAGTGATTATACGGTGACAGCGCCCTTTGATGCTTTCTAAGTTTTAAGTTTAGGTCACAGGTCACTTTTGCACTTGACTGAAGCTTCTTGGACAGTGTGTCAAGAATGACTTTTATTAAACATGCATAAAATTATATTGCAAATAATTGAAACAGATGTCACTTTCTGAAACAAAATAGCATTAGAGTACTCTGGCTAAAAATAACAGAATCCTTTCCGGTGCTAAGTAGAATTCTGCATTTTAGGTTTCAAAAAATTGAGCTATAATAGAAAGGTTGCATTTTGCATTTTACAATAAAAAATTAAGTTAAAGGTTAACAAATAAAAGAGGATTCTAGAGTTAGCTTTTTTAAAAATATTTTTATATATAATGGCCTCTGGTGTCTATTGCAGGAGTAAAGAACTTTTTACATTATTGTAAGATGTAGATTGCATTATATGGTACGTTGCACAAATACTACACATTTGCATATTCATACATTATATATGGCATAGTTAAATAGAATATATTACATAGCTTCAGTTCTATAATATTCCACACATGCAACATTTCAGCATATAAATGTTCTTTAGGCGAATGTGGTTCTGAAGATATTAATATCATTAAAGAAGCTTTCATTTCAAAGCTTTTAATTTCAAAATTTCAGGCCATTTCAAAACTGAAGGTTCACTTAATTTCAACAATTGTAAATAATGTTAAAATGATTGCACAACTTTACTAAAGACTTTACAGAGTATATTTAAGTCTTTATAAAGGACAGGAAAATTTCCTCAATGATATCAATGTCGTTGTAAACACTGTGCCATACATTTAACAACACTTAAATCTTTACTCTCTCATGCCAATTTAAAACAAATTCAATTTCAATCGTAATCATCATGTTTTGTGCAGGGTTACTGTAAGTCAGACATCTAGGTTACAGTCCAAGTTCCAAATCAGCTTATTGGGACAACTGGGGTACCCAGGTACCCTCCACAAGGAATCTTAATTGGTATTGACAAGGATGCAGCCCAAACCTTCCTAATCCCAATGGATTGATGGTTCAGTTTAGGGAAAGCAGGGTTTATCTGAAAATCTTGATGAGGTCAGTTTTAATCTCTCCCCGTTTCTGACGATAGGCGTTTTCTTTCTTTCTGTTTTTTTCAGTCATCTGTTTCTCCTTCTATTGTGGCAAAGTGGAGCAGGAGGAAGTGAATGCTAGGATGTGAACAGACCAAGCCAGGATGAGGATGGAGCCAACATGAAGACAACAGCAGTCTGTAAACTTTTTTTTTCTTTTTACACTATCAGTTGTTTCCTTGTTTTTGGCAAATGAGAAATTGCTAAGAACTGCCAGGTATTTGTTCATTATGATCTTTTACACTTTCTTTTAAAGTGGACTTAATATCTATGCTTTGGTGGGATTGAGAATCATGCGTCACTATTGTGATGTTTTTTTGCTATCACAGTGTAACTCACAGATATTCAGTGATGTAGTTGAAAAGGATGTTTTTCAGAAACAGATGGATCAGAAAGTATCATGGGGCAGCACTCAGTCAGTCGTATGTCTGGAATTCCGCTAGTTCTGAACTATTCGTGATTGGCAAAAGTTCACTACTAGCAGAACTCGGATATACAACTGAATTCTCAACGAAAGCTCAAGATTAGCACAGTTTGGTCTCACATGGCCTGCCATTGGACAGCTGCTATATTCACGGTATTTAAAAAATACATTTGAATGAAATTAATCCATATAATAGATGTTAATCTAACATGGGCAAAACTTTGCTTTCACTGCTCATTGTTTCTCTAACATCATTTGTGGTTTAATTTCTAGATGAACTATCAAGTTGATCTTGTTCTTGATTTGATTGTGTTAGGCTGGATTGAAAATGACAAAAGCTCACTTCATATTCTTTCTTTGCACTTTTCTCTTGATTTGGAAGTGATCTACTTATCGGATGAAGTACCAGAAGTTAAGGTGAGTAAGCATGCATACACAAATCAAAGACCTGAGCAATGACATTTTTTCTTAAAATCTAAAGACACATTGAAGTCCACTGTACATACATTCTCATTATTGCTTATCAGTGCAATAATTAAAAATGATTAAATATTAGTGCAGCAATTCAGTGCAAAGCACTTTTGCATACTGGATAAAACTCTGTCTAACTTTATTTTTCAGACCATCTTTGGATGTGCTACTCCATTAATCATAACTGAAGGGCTACAGACTTGATTACAACCAGACATATGAGATACTTCTCTGTTTTCATGTTTTAGCTGTGGTAAAATGGTGTGGTCTGTTTGAAACAGGAAGAAATAAGACCAATGTAACATATTTAATATATAAACTATATATTAAATATATATACTCTTCAACTGCTACATTTAACAACACAATTCTTTCTTTCTTTGCATTTATTGTACATTTTTAATGATAATAATGAATTTCTACTAATTCTACTGGTTCAGCAAGCCAAGACCAAGTTACAAAAATTCCTATTGTGTCTATGTTTATTATTTACAATCACTGTAAAATTGTTTTTCACTGCCAAAGTGGTTCTTTCCACAGGAGGAGGTTACATTAAAAATGGGTTTATTTCTCTGGTGCAACAGAGGAGACCTGGGTGACCTGAGATGAAGTAGAGGCCTCATCTTCCTCAATATTTTTGCCACAGACCATCTTCATCATACAGGAACGGAACTGGGTTTTAAAAGAAAAGAGCAGAACATGTTACTTCAAGTGATTAGTTAACTTCAACAATACTGCAAATGTCCACTTAGTACATAAAACTATACCTGTTTGTTCATTAAGATGTAGATGACAGGATTATACACTACAGAGGCTTTAGAAAGGCAGGATGGTATGGTTGCCATTCTCAGATCAAAAGTTTCACCACGGTGGGAAACTATCCAGACAGAAAAGATAGCATATGGTGCCCAGCATAACAAGAAGCCGAACACCATCACCACCACCATCTTTGTCACCTCCCTCTCTGCCTTCTGGGTCGAAGCTGAATCTGCTTGAGCTTTGGCTGCCTGGTAGGACAAACAAGGGATTTTAGAGCACCTGGCAACGTGAGCAACACTGCAATAATATACATATACAGTCTCCATCTAGTGGACACGAGCAATGTGTATCCCAAAGCATCAAAGAGTGTGGCAGGGGAATGAAAAACATTTATTATATATTCATGTAAAAAATACATAATAAATGGTATTTTATCAGTTGTGTTATCAGTATTTAATGTTAGTATGAATCTTACCTTTATAAAAAAAATAAAGTGTGCATTTAATTTTCGGATGAAGTACCAGAAGTTAAGGTGAGTAAGCATGCATACACAAATCAAAGACCTGAGCAATGACATTTTTTCTTAAAATCTAAAGACACATTGAAGTCCACTGTACATACATTCTCATTATTGCTTATCAGTGCAATAATTAAAAATGATTAAATATTAGTGCAGCAATTCAGTGCAAAGCACTTTTGCATACTGGATAAAACTCTGTCTAACTTTATTTTTCAGACCATCTTTGGATGTGCTACTCCATTAATCATAACTGAAGGGCTACAGACTTGATTACAACCAGACATATGAGATACTTCTCTGTTTTCATGTTTTAGCTGTGGTAAAATGGTGTGGTCTGTTTGAAACAGGAAGAAATAAGACCAATGTAACATATTTAATATATAAACTATATATTAAATATATATACTCTTCAACTGCTACATTTAACAACACAATTCTTTCTTTCTTTGCATTTATTGTACATTTTTAATGATAATAATGAATTTCTACTAATTCTACTGGTTCAGCAAGCCAAGACCAAGTTACAAAAATTCCTATTGTGTCTATGTTTATTATTTACAATCACTGTAAAATTGTTTTTCACTGCCAAAGTGGTTCTTTCCACAGGAGGAGGTTACATTAAAAATGGGTTTATTTCTCTGGTGCAACAGAGGAGACCTGGGTGACCTGAGATGAAGTAGAGGCCTCATCTTCCTCAATATTTTTGCCACAGACCATCTTCATCATACAGGAACGGAACTGGGTTTTAAAAGAAAAGAGCAGAACATGTTACTTCAAGTGATTAGTTAACTTCAACAATACTGCAAATGTCCACTTAGTACATAAAACTATACCTGTTTGTTCATTAAGATGTAGATGACAGGATTATACACTACAGAGGCTTTAGAAAGGCAGGATGGTATGGTTGCCATTCTCAGATCAAAAGTTTCACCACGGTGGGAAACTATCCAGACAGAAAAGATAGCATATGGTGCCCAGCATAACAAGAAGCCGAACACCATCACCACCACCATCTTTGTCACCTCCCTCTCTGCCTTCTGGGTGGAAGCTGAATCTGCTTGAGCTTTGGCTGCCTGGTAGGACAAACAAGGGATTTTAGAGCACCTGGCAACGTGAGCAACACTGCAATAATATACATATACAGTCTCCATCTAGTGGACACGAGCAATGTGTATCCCAAAGCATCAAAGAGTGTGGCAGGGGAATGAAAAACATTTATTATATATTCATGTAAAAAATACATAATAAATGGTATTTTATCAGTTGTGTTATCAGTATTTAATGTTAGTATGAATCTTACCTTTATAAAAAAAATAAAGTGTGCATTTAATTTTATGATCTGCATGTTCATATAGCTGTCTAAGTTTTTCCGATCAAAATAAAGAACAGGAATTAACCGAAAATAATATGGCTTTGTGGTTTTAATATTTATTTAAATCACTTATTTTTGTATTTTATACAACACTGTGTTGTTCTACGAAATTCCTCTTCCTCACCCAAACTTTTACTCTTTTCTCAAAACATTGACATTTTACTAAAATTATTCATTCTGGGGCAGCATTCAATAGGAAATGCAAATTGTACTCACTAATTTGAGTGTAATAAGTAGTTGACCATAACAGAAGATGATGGTGCCAAAAGGAACCGCAAAGCAGAAGCAGAACAAAAACATGACGTAGGATTCGTTGTTGTATTTGTTGTTAGTGGTATACCAGTCAGGTCCACAGGAGCACTGCAAACCTTCAGGTATGTACCTGTAAAAGAGATCTCAGTGAGACTGATGGGATAGACAACTCCACACACTTGAGTTATAATCAGAGGATTTCACTTCTGGACTTCAACTAGCTGTTTAGGAGTGGAGCAAAAAGGTGCTAGGTGTTGGTTTTCTTTCTTCAGATTCAGTGAAGGGAGGCACTGTGGCTTTGTCCTTATCAATGTAGTATGAGGACTGGGACTTACCGGCTCCAGCCAAACAGTGGAGGGAGTGAAGCTGCCAATGCACTAATCCAAGGAAGTATGCAGCCAGCTATGGCATGAGGGGTTTTGAAGGTAAAGTTCCCAAGGGGTTTGCAAATGACCAGCCACCTTTCAAATGCCACTACAGCAAGAGACCACAAACTCACCATTCCTGCAACAGCAAAGAAAAAACAGAGAAACGGTTATTGAATCTATGAACTACAATGGACTACAACAAGCTAACACAGAAACTTTAAAATAATGTGGATGCATGTTGCATTTTACCTCCAAGTGTTGCAAGGAAGCCCTCAACTTTACATGCTGTGGGCCCGAAGATAAAGTACCTATTAAAGAAGGAGTAGAACAATAACGGGGAACCAAAAACTGCCACAAACAGGTTGGAAATGGCAAGGTTTACAAGAATATAGTTAAGGTGAGATCTGAGTTTCTTGAACTGAATTGTGCAAACAATGGTAAGGATGTTGATCAAAGTCCCTCCGATGAAAATAAAGAACATGAAGACAGCCATGGCCATGAATACACCTTGGTTTCCCAGGTGGTCCTGGGGGACCAAAAAAGGGCTGTAACCTGAGAGGTTGTGGACATCTAAAGGAATGGGTATGTAGAAGTCTTCGTGAAACTCTGGTACTTGCTTCATCTTGTTTGAAACTGGCAAACACTCCACCGAGAACGCTGTAACGCCTTGAAGCTTAAATAAGTTATTTCCTTCGCAGATTACTGTAGCATCGCAAAAAAATCAAATCGAACCCGTATCGCTGTATATTCTTTCTTCGTTGATCACCAGATGAAGCCGCCCTCAAATTATTGCCAAGTGATCCTTCTTTTATAAGGATTGAAAAGATACCATTTCGCTCCTCCCAAATGGCCTTAATGGAAGGATTTGTGTTTTGTTGTCATCTACCAAACACATGGTCTCTAGCACGCACACACAAAACTACATCTGTATATTGCAAAACACACATTTCACCTAATCTCATTTCCAACACCAAAACCTGGCTAATTCGGATCATCCCGTTCACCCTGCAGTGTGGTTCTGTGTTAGCGATGGCAGTTAATCTGCTGCACAGTGCCGATAATGCAGCTAATCACTTGCAGTTAACCCTCTTTAATCTGCTTCCCATCGTATTATCTTCAGCTCTGAGCCTGGAATCGCGGCCTTTGTGAAGAGCCTTTAATACCTGACAGCTGAAATGCCCTTGACGCTCGTATATAGAGAATTCTTGTGTCAGAGCCGAGAAAGGGACTACAACTTAGAACATCTGTACAAAACAGATAATAACCATAAATAACAGTCTATCAAATTATATTTTACACACATAAGCTACATAAGCAAAATATAAGCAAAAAACAGATAATGCTAAATGCAGTGAGAAACAAGCTTGTCAGCACACTGGATCACACACAGAAATAATTATGAATTGTCAGTGATGACTTCACAGACACGGAATTTGATTGTACTGATGTTCTGTTCATTATTTTAGGTTATTTCATGGTTTGTATTTTGATTAAACAACCTGATCGATTGAATGATCTATTTCAGATTTCAAAAAGCTATCTAAAGGGGAGTCTAATTGATTATATTCATTATTAATTAAAGTCAATACATTCATTGCACCCACTATAATTGACAGAAAATGTGCTAATGACACTGGCACACATTTTTCATCAGTAAATACACTGAACAAAATTATAAACGCAACACTTTTGTTTTTGCCCCCATTTTTCATGAGCTGAACTCAAAGATTTAAGACTTTTTCTATGTACACAAAAGGCCTATTTCTCTCAAACATTGTTCACAAATCTGTCTAAATTTGTGTTAGTGAGCACTTCTCCTTTGCTGAGATAATCCATCCACCTCACAGGTGTGGCATATCAAGATGCTGATTAGACAGCATGATTATTGCACAGGTGTGCCTTAGGCTGGCCACAATAAAAGGCCACTCTAAAATGTGCAGTTTTACTGTATTGGGGGGTCCGGGGGGTCCGAAAACCAGTCAGTATCTGGTGTGACCACCATTTGCCTCACGCAGTGCAACACATCTCCTTCACATAGTGAAGTATGCTGGCCATGCAAGAACTGGGATGTTTTCAACTTCCAGGAATTGTGTACAGATCCTTGCAACATGGGGCCGTACATTATCATGTTGAAACGCCTTTGGAGACGTCTTATGGTAGAGAAATGAACATTCAATTCACGCGCAACAGCTCTGGTGGACATGCCTGCAGTCAACATGCCAATTGCACGCTCCCTCTTGAGACATCTGTGGCATTGTGCTGTGTGATAAAACTGCACATTTTAGAGTGGCCTTTTATTGTGGCCAGCCTACGGCACACCTGTGCAATAATCATGCTGTCTAATCAGCATCTTGATATGCCACACCTGTGAGGTGGATGGATTATCTCGGCAAAGGAGAAGTGCTCACTAACACATATTTGAGAGAAATAGGCCTTTTGTGTACATAGAAAAAGTCTTAGATCTTTGAGTTTAGCTCATGAAAAATGGGGGCAAAAACAAAAGTGTTGCGTTTATAATTTTGTTCAGTGTACATTTAATGAGGTTAATAATCACACTAAAAGTGAATGTTACACAAATATAGTATTACATAGACTATACAAAACTTATACACTGTAAAAAATGATATGATCAGTAAGTCACGACAACTTATGTTTTTACATTAATTCGTCAAAATAAAGAAAATCAAGCAATTTCAAATTTTTATTATAATTACACCAAAAAAATAAAATAATAATTTAGATTTTTTTAAAGTTGGTTTAATGCAATTTAAGTTGAAATTACTTGTACAACCAAGTTGATTATACTTAAAAATGTATGGCAGCAACTGAACTTTGAAATAGATGGAATTATTTTTACAGTGATACAAGAAAAAAAATTGTTTACAGGATGGAGTCTTAGTCATAGAATAAAGCAGAAGTTTATATGTACCTTACTGGTTTTGTTGCTCCAATGAGATAATGATTAGCAAACCTTAAATTTTTTAGAGCACTCACTTAGCTTACCAAATATTTTAAGATAGACTGGTAAAGCAATTTAAAACTTATTTTGATCTTAACACAATTTAAAGTCATAATTGCTTACTGACAACATCACATGTGCATTATTTGATAAAAATGAATGTGTATATATAAATAAAATATTGTTAATTAATTAATTATTAAAAGTATATTTGATAAGTGCAACTGTTCACTATTCATACTAGTATAATTTGAGACTGCAGTTCAGGATTCACCCTTTGCAAAGGTTGAGTTGCTGTGGGAGTTAATGATGCAAAAAAAATAAAATAAATAAACCTTCAAATATTTTATGAAAATGTAATTGCAATGAGAGGTGTCACACTTTAAGTAATAAATAAATGGATTTCATACAACTACAGCTGGTGCACTTGGCATTAAAAAATGCAATAAATTGCACACAATCAGTAAGAAAGAGGGAATCAGTCAAGTAGCCACAGTAATATTGTGTCATCCTGTGAAATGTCACTGCATGAGCAAAGAGTGGGATTTGAATTAAAGTCTTCCGGTTTAAAATACTCCTCTGAGCTACAGTAATCACTCCCAGAAAGGATTTCCCATACAAACATGTAGCAAAGATAAAAAGGCCCAAATATTCAACACCAGTATATATACTTAATGTGGTATTATATGTTAAACTTACTATACTCATTATGTTTCAATATTTCTAGGGTCTCATAAGCTTGCATGAAAGTCATCTGGGAAGTATTTAGGACCTTGGAAACTTTGCTCAACAAGAGTAACAGTAACTAAGAAGAAAGAAAGAAAGAAAGAAAAAAAGGGATATATGCAGGTTTGGGGTGGGTATAAGGAGAGTTAGCACACAAAATGTCATTATCAAAATGAATCTTAAACTGAACCAAAATGAACCTAATCTTAAAATCGTTTTCATTTCCATCATCAAATCACTGCAGATGAGCCTTTTTTTCCTGCTCATTTCGTCACCTTCTGTGGTCAAAGCTCTGTCCCCTCCCTCTTCTTCTGTTTTAATCTCTGGTCTTCCTCACTTGTTTGACCCATATGATGATCTGTTTAGTGGCTTAGGACTAATTATTGGACTTGTGCTAAGGCTCTTAACTACCACAGTCAGTGTGAACTAGTTAGGAGTGGTGCCTGAGGTAAAGACACCTGTAAGTGCGTCACATAGTTATCTCCGGCCTGTTAACCTGCTTCAGAGCAGAGATTGTGTCAGTATGTCTGCAGCCAGTTTATACAGTCTGATATTCACCAGTCTTAGTGATTGACATAAACAAATGAATGTACAATAAAAAATAAAGAAGCAAAAACACACAAAGATTGGAAGATTTGCTGTTGTAATACTGTTCTGAATATTGGCTTGTAGTGTAAGTTTCAGATTATTTGATGTAATAACAATCTGTTAAATATTATATAAGCGAGGTAAATGTTATTAAGGAAAACTATTAGTGATCAACATTAAAAAGTGAAAGTACCAAGTAAATAACTGCAAGTCTGGAAAGAAGCTGAAACATATGCATATCAGCTTACAGTAAAACTTGCAAATGAATTTTTGAGCATTTAAAATAATAAGGTTAAGTTTTATGAAATACAATAACTTTAATGTAAATAAAGAAAGATATTATAAATTGTTACACACCTGCATATAATTAACATGAATGGCTGGGTTTGTAAAAACGAAATTGACTGAGGTTTGCGCAGCTGGGCTTAAAAATAATGCAGTTACAAAATCACTTTGGGTGAAAGGAAGTGTTTACAGAGGATTAATGGTTTTCATCTCTTTTCCGCCACATCCTGTATCTGACTGTGTGCTAAAGCACCTTAAATGATGCCTTAATTGTTTAATCTAATCAACAAACACCAGTACTTAATTTCACTGTTCTGGTAGTTCAACAAGCTCCATAATTTATGTGCAAACTAACACAGATATTTGGTAACTCTTTACAAAAATGTCTCATTTGTTAACATCACTTAACTAACAATAAACAATACTTATACAGCATTTATTAATGTTGAAAAGTAGATGATTACAATAATTAAAAGGATTTATTTTTTTAACATTGCAATATCATTAAGCTGAACAGATTCAGAGAAAAATGAATGTATTGACCTCTAACATGACATAACACACATGTTGACTGATACTAAAATTCACATCTTGACAAAACATCAGACATCTGAAACATAGTTGCAGTTCCAATGCAACCTTAAGAAATGCAAGCACACTGTAAAGGTATTACAGCATGGTTGTGCCTATTTTTTATCCTTGAATAATAAAATAAAAACAATAATGAAAACCAGCAGAAACGATATATGCTATGTTGTTGGTAGATGTGACTAAATAGTATGCTATTGTGCACTGAATTAAAAAGTATTTTGGTGAAAAGTTTGATTATTTTTAAAGTATCATTAATTTTCCAATGTGTTTAATCTGATTCCATATGAAGTACATTATAGATTCAAACAGGGATACATACTTACAATTTGAACCAATTGCTGACTTTTTGATGGATCATTGGCAAAAAAAAAAGTTTGTATTTAGAGCTTCTGAATACCACTGTTGCCTGCAGAAAATAAAAAACAACATGAGACACAAATTAGATGTCTTTAATATCTAAATGATGTATAAGAGGATGTTCCTCCTATACATCCAAGAGATTAAATGTAGAGTAAAAGGAGAAAAAACCCTGGTAATGTCATGTCTCCATGTTTCAGTAAATATTACATCAATGTCACAAACTTTGCCAATCGATTTGCCAATACTCCAATGTCTATGCAATTTTTTATTATTATTATTTATTATTATTAATT